AAAGTAGATCTTTAAAAATATATTTTACTTAGAAAGTATATTGTTAAAATTAATATTTAAGATTTTATTAAAAAATTGGAGTTTAAAAAAATAAACGCAAGCAAATTTGCCTGTATTACAATTTAAAAGATAATCTTTAATAGCTATTCTATATTTAATTTCTTTACAATTAGAAATTGTAGATAAGGTTTGAATAAGTTTGTAGAATTTATTATATTAATTTAATATCTGTAATATTAAAGAATTGAAACTATAAAAACAAATTTAATTAATGATATATCATTCGTTTTATATATACAAAATAAAATATATAGTATATATAATTGTTATACATATAACTAAAGTATAAAAAAACATAATTTCTTTTAAATTTTATAAAAAGAAAAGTGGCCCAAAATAAGAATTAAAGCTCAAATATTTGTTACTGTGATGAAATCTAGTTTAAAAATATCTATTTAACTTTATTCAATTTAAAAACAAAACTCTATTTATTCTATTTTTTTTTGAAGAATATTTTTCACACAATTATGTCAAATAATAGATATCAGCTACCAGAGAATATTGCCAGTTTACGCATGATTTCAATAATTTTCTTAGCCCTTCTAGTAATAAAACAATTATATTAATAAAGTAATTAGTTGTTACATATATATTATTTGAGTGTAAAATAAATTAGAAATTGGAATTGAACTTAATTTTTATATTCGAACTTATTTAATTCGAATTTGAATTAATTTGAATTATTCATATTAATTTATATAATATTCAAATTTATTGATTTGTCTATTGATTCACATAAACGATTTTAATTGTTACTAAATATTAGATCAGTTTAGACTGTTAGAATACTTTTATAATAGTTACCATTAAAATATTTTTATAATAGCTATAACAGCTATAATAGTTATAATTACTATAAAAGATATAACAGTTATTACTGATATAATAATTATAATAGTTATAATAGCTATATTACAATGTATTACATATATATTTAATAACTACATTATAGACATAATGGTTTTATTGCTTATATAATGGCTACCTTATATAGCATTTATTTTTCATGCATGAATAATTGAACTTAATTCAAATATAATTTTAAATTAAATTAATTCGAATATTCAGTAAATTAAAGATTTGATTCCAATCTCTAAAATAAACTAATGATAACATACCCTTAAATTTAAATAAATGACTGAATAAAAACCAGATAAGATAAAAAAATAATTAATTAATTTTAATAATTATTTCTTGCTAATAATAACTAATACTATATTAATTATTGTTACTTACAATTTAATGAAACTTAGCTCCAAATATTAATATAATGTGTCTCTTCATTTTTGTGATATTTGTCATCTAAATTATTTTTACCTTCTGGAACTAGTTCGTTACTTTCTTCTGTATCTTCCAGAATTGGTTCATTACTTTCTTCTGCATCTTCTGAAACTAGATCGTTACTTTCTTCTTCCTTTTTAATATCAATTTTTACACCTTTTATATCTAGAACTCTCTTAAAATTAAAGATCAAATTGTTTTTAGAGCCATCTATCTCTGTAGAAACACCACAACACTTAAAAGACTATTGTACTATTGCAATATCAATTTTATCTCACACTTTTTTAATCTAGATTGTTACTAATGAGTATTATAGTTATTTAATTTTTCCAATTGGTGTATATTCTTTTATTGCCTTATCTATCCATTGATTATACATATAAAGAATCTATATTAAAACAATAAAATTAATAAATTTTCTTATATAAGGCTATATAAAACTAATTTTTTGGTTTTTATAACATAAAATTTTAAAAATAACCTAGCAACCCAACAATTCAGCTTTTAATTTTATTTTCAAAAAATTTTATATGTAAAAAATATATAAAATTTTTTTACAAAAATTTAAATAATTTCATCCAGATAGTAAATATAGTAAAAAATTTTTTTTAAAATTTTGTTGAATTTGACCTGGCTAGGTTATGAGGATCAATTAATTAATTTTTATAGCCTAATGTTAACATGCAAACTAAACTAACTTTTGCTTTAAATAATTTGTTCAAAGACACATCCAATAGTTGCAAGCGCAAGGTTAGTTTAGCTATATCTATATTTCTCTCATGAAAATGACATTTCACAGAATCTGTTACATGACTAGCAAATGAATCAAGAACAAAAAGCAAGCATGAATTTGATTCTAAACTAACTCATCAGTCCACATATTCTCTACCCACCAAATTATTTTATTTTTGTCCCATCTAGCTACTTGAATTTGTATGAATATATACACCATCTAAAAATTGTTCTTGTAGTATATTAACTAACTTAAAAATAATTAAAGGTAGAAGCTTAGTACTAACTGCAAGACAGACAAGAGTTATAGTAAAATTAGTACGTTCGTGACCTGTTGTAAGAATTGAGACTGTTCGCTTTCCACATTCTTCAACAGTTGTGTGTCTTGGTAAATTAAATGACATGTGGTTTTGTCTATATTGCCAATTAAATTTAAAGAGTAGTTATTTTGAGTTCAACAATAAAAGATATATGCTAAAAAATTTTGTTGCAATTCTTGATGTTCTTCAAGCAATCTTTGGGCAGTTGTAGTGTATTGGTGATTTACTAATTTCTTACGAGATA